CCCCAAAACCCCAAAACCCCAAAACCCCAAAACCCCGAGGTGGGAAGGGGTAATTGAAGGAGAGAAAATTAAGTGGGAAAGAGGGGTTTGAGGGGCAGAATGGACCGAGAGGAAATATACTTTGTATGAAGGGAGGAGAGTGATGGAGGTCTACTAGGGTTCATTTGGGAGCTTGGGGATAGGTTCTGAGATGTTTTGGTAGATATATAATTGAAATTGTAAGAGGGTTTAGATCTCTTTTCTCAAATATGGTTATGCAAATTAAATTGCAATGTTTATCCCAAGATATGCGATTTATCAAGGTCAGTCCAAGAATCATAATTATTTTTTCTTAAAGAGCTTTGACCTCGATCTCATACTAAGATAAAGAGAGTATTCTAATATTTCTTTAAAGCTTTAAAATTAGAAATTAAGTCACAACTAATTATGAATGCCAAAGAATTAAAAATGGCAATGTTGCAAATAATCTTTAAGAATCAGTGAGTATTGAAAGAATCTGAATATTGAAATTATAGTATGAGCTATATTGTCTTCAAGGAACTCTTTTTGACAAATTTAGGCTCAAAAAATTTCTTCTTTGGTCTACATCCTGGACTGCAAGCCTTACATTTCTGACAACAGTTATAATACTCATCTCCTCCTCATCCTCTTCAAGAAAAGAACCTTAGAAGGCCTGGGTGATAATACTCATCTTCCTCAAATTCATGTTTGAGGGAAGAAAGGCTGATATTTATTCGAAAAAGCTTACACTTCATCATATTTCATTTTGAAGTTCTCTTCATCAAGCTTATTTATAGCTCTCCTCTCTCTTTGTATAGAATTGGCAATATTCAAGAACTCATGTAACATCTGAGTGGGTTCCTCGCCATTTTCAATGTCTTCAACCTCCGAAGCTTCTACATCTTGTCTTGACTTGAGGGTTTCATCAACAACGTTAATTGCATTCTCAAGGCCTTCCTCGTCAATTGCCTTTGAGTTAGAAAATATACTTACATTTTTATACTTTTCTTGTGCTTCAGCAAGTTGTCTCTGAAGGTCTTCTATTTCTTCTTCATTTTTCTCAATTACTGACTCCATGCCTTGCTCATCTTTCCTATAAGTGTATCTGAGGAAGCAAAGGGGAGACTTACTCTAGCCTGGCCTGTTCTTCTTCAATTCTTGAGAGGTTCTTAGTGGTTTCTTCGAGGTGGTTCTGGCTGATCTCAATTTCATGTTCACAATTCTCAATGGAAGCAGAATAAATGTTCATAATGTCTTTTACTTCTTCACGAGTCATCATTGCTTGTGACATTTCGCTGGGAGTTGACTGGGAAAAGTTGTTACTCATCCCATTGTTCTGTGATATCGTAAAGTCAGGGTACTTTTCTTCTTCCATTATTTAATAAAAGTTTTCAAAAAATTTAAAATTTAAGGGGTTTTGGGGTTTTGGGGTTTTGGGGTTTTGGGG